AAGAAAGAAAGGATCTGAGGACAGAATACAGAATTCTGGAAAAATTTAGAATGAAGTGGGAGTAGAGGAGGGAGGACGTTCAAGGAGAAGATGGGTAAGAGACTGGCCAATTCAAAATGAGGCAGGGGGCACAGAGACTGTGGCTGCTGCCTGGAGGGGCTTAGAAATAGCTCAAATGTGCTAGGAATTAGTACCCATGAGTCTCACCCTTGCTCCCCACCAGAGATCAGTGGGTGACCAATGAGATAAGAGTGGGACTGGGATTTCCAGCACTGGGCTTGGTAGGTTGTATGATGCTAGTAATGAGCTCCCACCGAGCAAGTAGAGACACTAGGTTATAGGCTTCTCTCTCAAATATCTAGTATCTTGGTAAACATTTAAAAATAAAAATAAAATGGAGACAGTAGATTGAAGAGTAGAATTTTATACTGATTGTTTTTTAAATAATGAAGATCTTAAACTATGAATGCTCTGTGGATACAAGAATGAATACAACACATCCCTGCTCGGAAGTCTATTAAGGGAGATAGACACCCTAAGAAGTATTTGTAACCTGTAGCAGCATGTAACTGTGGGATCATAGAGGAGAGAACCACTATCCTGCAGAATAAGGAGCTTTTATGGGAGAAATTGCTTTGAGGTGAATAAAGGGGATTGTGGGCCGCAGATAACATGAAAATCGTGGTGGAATCAATTGGCCCACTTTCATAACCATCTCCAGTGATGCTGGCACCCAGAGAGCAGGAGCACAAAAAGCGAACGGTGACACATTAGCAGGATTAGGGCAAAGCAAAGCCAACATGAAAGAAGGGCCCAGTGACCCAAGGTTCTAGCCCTAGCAATGAAAATGGCCATCCTAGCGGTCAGTGTGATTAGAGAGGCCAGCCAGAGGACAAATGAGAGAATAAAGGAGGGAGGGAAGTAAAATCGAAAAGATGGCCAGAAGCTGCAGTGTGAATCACCAGGATGGTAGTTTTGTCCCCTTACGGCCTCATTAGCTCTTCCTCTGGTGATAAGTAGAAGGGAGTCCAGCTTGAGCCTGGGAGTGTTCCATGCTGGCATTCAATCATTGTGAACACAAGGGCTGATGCGATGGCCTGGCCTGACGGAAGTCTGTGAGCAGGAGCAATTATATAGCCTCCTGTAAAGAAATCTATTCCGAGAAAAGAAGAATTCAGACTGGATGAGCTTGAACCAGAATTTGGTTATCCAGAGGCTTGGGAGTCTGAATTCAGCATGGGAGCATCAGTGGAGACTGTCCCCAGCCTAGCCCCTTGGATTCAGGTCCCTGTGAGAAAGAGAAAGCTGTAAACAAAATGAGAGGCTTCTGTAAAACACTGTGGCTGCTTGGGGACCTCTCCAACTGTGTGCATCACAAAGGGAAGATGGGTCTTTGGCCCTCAACTTCTCTACAAGATACTGCCCTGCTTTGACATCATGGGAATCCTAGCCCAGTGGAGCAGATAAGAACCCTGCGGGAGAGGGTTTATTCATGAACACTTGACCTGCACTACCAGTGGGTTGCAGAGGGGCTTGGAGGAGACTATTTTCCTCTGTCAGTGGCGGGAAAGGCCAATGCATTTTGGTTTCTTCATTCTCTGTAGACACAGAAGCGTCAACATCCTAGGCTCTGGAATTAGATAGACTGGGTCTGCAATTTATTAACTCTGTGGACCTGCTCAAGTTATTTACCTCTTTGAGCTTGTTTTCTCAGGTACACTTACCTCCTAGGGTTCATGTAGTAAAGGAGTCAGACTTCACACCCACGATTTCCTCTGCCTAAAGGTTTTCCTCCTCACTCCTTGTCTAATTCTGAAGTTTAAATATCATTTTTTTCACACAAGCCACCCCTTGTAGCCAACGCTGGATTGCCTACCCAATTTCCATGTCCATCTTCTTTTTGTTCGGGTATCCATTCCTCAAAGAATGTAATCCTGAAGAGTTCTGGGGCAAATCCTGAAGAGCCTAAGCCAATCCCCGTAATCTCACCCCCTTTCCAGAATTTAGGAGAGGGCACGTCACTTGGTTTTGACTAAAGACAAGTCAGCTGGAAGCTTCTGAGAAAGATTTGCCCACTCTTTAAAAGACACAGTCTTTGCTACCACTGGCCATTGTCAAGAATGCCTGTAATCACTGGAGCTCCTCCAGTCATCCTGGGACCATGGTGGGGGGCGGGGCACACCTAGGTACAAAGCAGACATACTCAAGATGGCAAAGGGAGAATAACAGAAAACAGCCCTGGCCTCTCTAACATCAACAAGCTGCTGAATTCACCAACTGGAGCCTCCTGACCTTGGGACTTCTTGTGACATGACATAAGTTTCCTTATCACTTAAGACATTTTGAATTGGGTTAATGATTAATTGCAAACTTCCACGTCTAAATTATGATCCCGTATTCTTTGCTGTCATAGCGTATTTTCCTTCATAGAATTAATTTTGTGTTTATTTGTTTAATGTCTGTTTCTGTCACTGGCTTGTAAATTCTAAAGTGGCGGAGATGATGCTAATTTTGTTCATCATTGAATTCCTAGTTTTTAGCACAGGGTCTGGATTATAGGAGCTGCTCAAAGCACATTTGTTGAAAGAATGAATAAAAAGCTGAAAAATGGACAATTTTCTCCTCCTCCTTATTCTCCACAATGCAGGACTGTAGAGTTGACAGTACAGGACTGTTGAGGGGGTAGGGGTAGGAAACCCAAGTTCCCACTCAAACTCTAACTAGTTGGATAACCATGGACAGCAACCTGTACTACATCAGTGGCGTTCAAACTTTTACCTCTACAATTTGAAAACACATATTAGTTGCATGGTTGGCCCAGTATACACATATTTGTATATTTAACTGAAACAAAGATTTATAAAACAGGTATACTATGCATGATATACTCTGCTACTTTGTTATTCTAATTTTTCTATTTCATTAAAAAATGCTAGCTTTGACCTACTACTTCAATTTCATGACCTTCTAATTGTTGTTGCTGTTGCTCTTAGGTGCCCTAGAGTCGGTTCCCACTCATAGCGACCCTATGCACAACAGAACAAAACATTTCCTGGTCCTGTGCCATCCCCCCAATCATTCCTATGCTTGAGCCCATTGTTGCAGCCACTGTATCAGTCCATCTTGTTGAGGGTCTTCCTCTCTTTTGCTAGCCCTCTACTCTACCGAGCATGATGTCCTTCTCCAGGGAGTGGTCCCTCCTGATAACATGTCCAAAGTAAGTGAGACGTAGTCTCGCCATCCTCACTTCTAAGGAGCATTCTGGCTATACTTCTTCCAAAACAGAATTGTTCATTCTTCTGGCAGTCTGAGGCATAGATTCTTCTTTGGTCTTCCTTAGTCATTGTCTAGCTTTCACACACATGAGACAATTGAAAATACTATGGCTTAGGTCAGGCGCACCTTAGTTCTCAAAGTGACGTTTTTGCTTTTTAACACTTTAAAGAAGTCTTTTGCAGCAGATTTACCCAATGTAATGCATCCTTTGATTTCTTGACTGCTACTTCCGTGGGCGTTGATTGTGGATCTAAGTAAAATGAAATCCTTGACAACTTCAATCTTTTCAATAAAGCTGGACTAAATGATACTTAAGGACTTTGAAAATTATCTTTTTGTGGTTAAACTATTCATAGAAATCCAGTCCATTGGCTTGAAAGTCCATTATTACAGAGATTTAGCAATTTTTCTCTTTCTTGTGGAAATCTCTCCCACCCTCATCTCCTCTCGTTTGGTTCTTATTGTTTATTTTTTATTTTTGGAGGCCTGCATAAAATGTAATACTCTGGCATAAGTCCACGAAAAAGTACTTTGTACTTTTGCTTAGTTTTCTTCAGTTAGCACAAAAACAAACATGACTACATTCTTCTTCCTCTGAAACTTAATGGCCTCATTCAGCATATTTTACGTGGGCCCCGTTTCTATATAAGTTTATGTATGTAATAGTACATTCGGGAGTTACACGAGCCTCACTGCCACCATGTGGTTTAAAACCCGAGAGAGTTGGCTCCCAACATTCTCTAGTTGAAAGGTGAAGAATAGACCCCACTGTACTTCCCATTCCTCAGTACAGAAACTGCTCTTGTCCTCGGTGGATCTGCCAGTGAAATTCCTCTGGGGGCAGGAGGAAAATGGAAAAGCCACAAGAAGATCTTGAAACTCCAGAGCACAGCAAATAATGCGGTGGGGTATATATATTTAGAAAACCATAATGCAAACCTCAGGAAAAATCAAAAGGCGACGAGGAGAGCATTACCTGCTTGGGTGATCAAAAAAGCTCCCTGCCCAAATACCTACATATTCAGAAGTTATCATCTCTGTCCCTTGAAACTCGGTTCAACTACTGGCCCTAGGATCAGGTGAATTGGCCAACTAGATGCAAGATATCGCTCCAGAGTCCGGGAGGAGGGTGTTGCTAAGCTGCTCTGGGGTCACATGTTTTCCAGAAGGGCACTGGTGTGACAGAGGTGATCATGTCCAGGATACGTGCTCCTGTGTGCGCCCTGGGAGGGAAAGCGAGGTGGAGAGAGCTCGCAGTGAAAACAGACAGAGGGGTGGGGGGAAAAGGAGGGGAAGAAAAACATGAACACCTCCTTGAACTTTCCTTTGCCCTCGTCCCACACACTTGAAACAGCAATAATAATAACAACATTTTAAAATGCTTACAACCACGACGTTATCTCCCTACTTAAGTTGCCCCACTCTGGAGGGCACGGAGTATAAAGTGCAGACTGCGACTGTCGCTGCTGGCTGGTCTCCGGAGTAAAGGTTCGGGCTAGTGCCGACGCGCGCGGGCGGGTGACCCCATCTCGGGTGAAGCCAGGCTCCCCGCCCTTACACGCAATAGCCCCGGCTGACCCCCTCCCTCCTCCTTCTACTCTCCTCCCTCCTTCCTCGCTGCGCTCCTCCTCTGCACCGGCCCCCGCGGAAGAGCGAGGCGGCAGCACCTACGCCGCCGCAGCTCCTGCCCGCAACGCGCTCGCCTGCGCCCCCGGCTTGCACGTAGCCGGGGCCGTGGCGCCGGCAGCCCCGGGTCCCCGCTGCGCACGGTGCGCACCGCCGGGCTTCCTGAGCAGACCTGCGCTCGGCTGGGGCGCCGCAGACGGCTGGGGAGGGAGGCGTGAAAGAGGACGCGGAGACGCAGGGGCGGCCGTGGAGAGGTGACAAGCTGTGCACCTGGAAAGTTACCCGGCTGTCTGGTGAGGTTCGCCTGCGGTGGGCTTGGGCGCTGGGCGTGCGCCAGGAGGGACAGGGGCCGTGCACGCGCGTGTGCATGCTGTGCGTGCGCCTTGAATCCACACCCAACTGGTCTCCTAAATGTGCTGTTTGCGTGTGTACGTGTGCACACGTTGCATTTGCTTGGTGTGGCAGTGTTTCGTGAGCTCCTGGAGGAAGGGAAAGGCTACTTGTTTTTTAAGAAGCTCAGCTGGCGGCGGCAGAGGCAAGCCGATCCCCAGCGGGGAGTCCTCAGGGTTCTCTTCTTAGGGCTTTCGCCCAGAGAAGCCTGGATGCTGTTGCTCTGGGCTGGGGGCTTGGCGGTGTTGTCAGTGCGTTGCGCCCTCCGCTTCACTTCGCCGAGCTTTGGGTAGCTGCTAGGAGACGAGTACCAGGGGAAGGACTTTTATGAGTCCTCGTAAAACTTATGTGGGCTTCTTGTGTCACTCTCGGCATCATGAGGCACTTCCACATCTCTTGCTCTGTATTTCCTGGTGGTGAAGAAACAAGAGCAGACAAGCAAAAAAAAAAAAAAAAAAATTACATCAGTCCTTTTGAGGGTGAGAAGAAAAGCAATGGGTTCAAGTCTGAGAGGAACTGGGGTGCGAATTCACAGCAGTTGGGGCCAGAGTTCAGCATAGAAAGAAACAAGCAGACTTAATTAACGTGACAAACGGACCTTTGTCTTACTCCCAACGTTCCCAGGGGCTCTTTTATTTATGAACAGAGCAACTTATCCCTACCCCGCCCCCTCCACAACCCATGCACACACTTTCCTTAGGAATTACTGTCTCTTTGCAATTTTCTATTTAACCATAGAGAAGGCGATCATCCTACACAACATAGAGTAGCTGTAGCCAGTACTCCTGTTTGGTTCTACGCAGGCGAGTATGAACTAGTATGGTGAATTCTCTTTGAAGAGTAGAGGCATCCTCTCCGTTGGATCATTGTATGGCTAAGAATAAGAGACATAAAAAGATGGTGAACAGGGATCCTTCTCTTTTACACGAAATACTTAACTCCAGTCCTCTGAAATCATTACAAGTAAGGCTAATGAGAATGTACACAGTGAAGGCATATGTTGCCTGGATGTTGCCCAAGTCCTTGATCCCATCTTGTCTTGCTTCCTCTAGGCCATTTCCCTATCAATTATCTCCTCTTTGCCTGTTTCCAGTTTCTCTGTCTTCATTGACTCATTCATTATCCTTGGCTTACAAATACTCTCAAGTTTCCACTATTCTAAAAGTCCTTTTCATGAACCATGATACCATCTTGAAGTTCCCCTTCTCAGCATCAGCTCTTTCCATGGTCATTTTTATCCCCATTATTTCATGAAAGGCTAAGTTCAATGCTTTTCCCACTGATCTCACCTGCTTTGACTTGTTTTTGGGATGTGATGCTGCAGCCTGGCTAACCTCTTGAAAAATCTTATCTCCATGGCCTCTAAGATAGTTCTGCTCATTGCTGTTGAGTGGATTCCAACTCATAGCAACCCTACAGGACAAAGCAGAACTGCCTTATAGGGTTTCCAAAGAGCAGCTGGTGGATTAGAACTCCTGACCCTTTGGTTAGTAGCTGAGCTCATAATGAGTGCGCCAGCAGGGCTCCGATAGTTCTCCTCTCTTATTTCTACTACTGTTCTTTTTCTGTCTTTGTTGTTTGCTTCTCCTTCTCTCCCATAAACACAGGTATTACTATATGTAGCTACATAACAATAAAGGCGTTCTTTTTTTATCTGAGTGATCTAGTTTTTATTTCAGGCCTCAAGTAGACCTAGACACTCTTTCTTCCCTCATTATCCACCTTCTGCTCATTTTGATCTACTTATTTAGCTTCAGCCTCTATTTGTGTATCAGTGATTACCAGTTTTTTTCTGATTTTCCAGTCCCTCACTTTTGACTGCCTACTGAACTTCCCTCCCTGAAAGTTTCCACAGGTATCTCCCACTGAGCATGTCCAAAATTAAACTCACTGTCTTATTTCTCTAATCTGTTCCCCATTTTGATTGATTAATGACATCATCTCCCACCCAGCTGCCGCATGTAGACTTGCAAATCTTTATTCGTTTTCTTTTTGCCACTAGTCAATTCAGTCAGCTACATTCTCCTGATCAACATCTATAAAATTAAATTTCTGTGTGTTTGTCTGTTTATCTGTTACCATAGCACAGAAAAAAATAGCTGAATAGGTGGAACGTCACCAAATTTGGCAGTTAAAATATAGGATATGTGACACTCTTAAAATTCTCTGTGAACATTTTGGGGTGGGAGAGGGACACCTCAAAGAGATAGTCAACCTCCTGTACAACCGAAACTTTGGTACAAGAAGAAGCTCATGATTGCCTGTCAAGAGAAAATTACTTTCAAAATTAAGTTGCTAACATAGTTTATAAAGAAAATGTTCTACATTCTACCTTGGTGAGTAGCATCGGGGGTCTTAAAAGCCTGTGAGCAGCCTTCTAAGATACCCCACTGGTCTCACCCCTTTGGGAGCAAGTGAAAAATGAAGAAAACTAAAGACACAAGAGAAAGATTAGTCCAAAGGACTAATGGACCACAACTACCACAGCCTCCACCAGACTGAGTCCAGTACAACTAGATGGTGCCCAGCTACCA